TTCCGAAAAAGTTTAAGTAAGTAGAACTGTGACAATTTTTGAAAGAGGGCATACTTATCAAGATTGTATTCATCAGAATTCTATCAACTAACTTTGCTTTGCGCTTTTCAGTACTGTCAGTACTTTGATTAGTAATGCTGTCTGTCTCCCTCCATGCGTGCGTGTGTATTTGTCAATCTCTCTTTCCTTTCTGAAGTAAATATTCGTCAAAATAATATATCGACGACAAAATATGCCGATCTTGACTGTACATATTGTCGCCGACGACAATATGTGCTGGTGCTTGACTGTACATTTTGTCGTCCATTATGCAGGAGAAAAATAAGGCTCGTCTCCGTACATATTGTCGTCGGCGACAATATGTACCGATGGACGACAATGTGTGCAGTGAGGGTAGGTACATATTGTCGCCGACGACAATATGTACAAAACGACAGTATGTACCGTCACAAGGTATCTGTCATCTATGATTTTTCCGATCTTCACATGTTTGCTCTTCCCCTTGCATCGTCGCATTTTAACGTCAATGTCGCATCTTCACACTTTCGCTTTCGCGATTGGGCATCTGCGCATCTTCGCCCTAAAATCAAAGGTACGAGTGGACCCATCGGTATGAACACCATAGTCATTAACAGGTATCTATGTAATCATAAATTTAAAATACGTAAACACATTTGTTTCTATTTGTAATACTCATTAAGAAATCCGTATCATGATATCTTATGTGTTGGAGAGAATGACTAATGAATGTCAAACCATAGGAATATGTTTCTCCCTTCATATTATGTAGGTTGAAGAACGGCCTTCTCTAAATCATTTTTATTAGATTGTGGGGGACAAAATGCTGAAATGAGGGGTTTGGGTATCCTACATATTTTTGACAAGTCACATTTCTCATTTCGTGGATTTCCAAATATATTCTGTACAATTTGTGACATTGATTGTATTTCAAGATAAAAACAAATTTATTTCCATGGGAATTTTTACTTTTGCAATTTACATCGATTACTGACACAGATTAGTACTGGCCTCGAGACCATAAACTAAGAACATGCTAAAGTTAAAATTTTGAGTTTTTATATGTTGCGTTTTATTTAACATACATACTTACAAATTTGCGAGTTTGTATAATATTTCAATTTAAACATATGATGAAAATTTTGTTTCATTATCGGAATTATTTTAAAAGTTATATTGATTTGAAATTTTGACTTAAGTCTGTTCTCAGTTTATGGTCTTGGGACCTGGTCAAATAAACGATATTCTAATAACAAACAAAAGATTGATTGATTGTTGTTTTACGTCCCTTGCCAGAATATTTACTCATATGAGACGTCACCATATACCGGTGAAGGGCTTCATTTAGACCTTTACTCAGCACCCAGGCCATTGAGCAGTGAGGGATCTTTATTGTATCAACCACGGGCACTGAAAGTTAAATGAATTTTAATATTGAGTATGTATAAGAAAGAAAGGGTAGGACATCTTTTTTGAGGCACATTCGGGTTTGGGGTATTGTGAATGTTTTTAAAACGGCCTGAGCCGATAATCCTTTATATATACTTTACTTACAATAATATAAATAGTTACATTTCCTCTCCAATGCATTTTACTTGAAGAAATAGACGTTTTATAGAATTTTGCTACACTGGTCTACTTCCGGTTACAATCGCAAGTAAATCTAAAGAAAAATTCTGATTGGTCAGTCAAACTGTAGAAAATAAAAATCAAAAGTAAAACCGAAGAAATTTCACCGACTCGTAAATCAAGTAGGAGATGACTCAAATGACAAATTTTCCATATTGCATTTTTGTATTTCAAGAATTAATTTTTACATATATGAGGACACTCTTACTAAAGGAGTGTCCTACCCAATATATTTTAATATGCACGTACTCGAAGCGAACGCCCTAGAACTAGGCTACCTCGACCGGTTCCGAACAAACGAAGAAAATATTTCGAGATTTCAGAAATGAAAATTTTCTTGCAATTGCTTTATCAAAGTCGAACTTCTTTCAGAAAAGAACTCGATTTGAGCAAATACTTTCTTATTATTAGCACCGGCGGGTTTATAGCCCCCTTCCCCCCATGTCACCCAAAATCTAGTAAAGATGAGTTAGTAATTTTTCTCCAATGTTACATATTGCTTTTATTGTACATAAAATATAAACTCCATGGGTCTCCACCAGCGCTTTGTCCTAGACCCATTTGGATCCTTCAGTCGACCCCGGACCACCACCTTTCCCTTTCAGAAACTCTGCCTCTTCCACTCATCGGTCTTTAAGTTCTTAGCAGGGAGTCGGGTGTTATATATAGTGTAATGTTTGAAGAATGTATCCTACTTTCACTTATTATAAAAAAAATACATATAGGATTTACAATGTTAATACAATGACTAGTAAGTGATTGTATAAAATTAAAATTAACACATCAAAATTCAATGCAGATGAGATAGTACTGAGAAACTTCATTCGTAATTCAGAAACTAACAAAACCCCATTTTAAAAAAAAAATACTTTTTTCCAGATGAGGTCAGTATCTTAAACTCCTTGATAAAACTGAAAACATGTGTTTTTGATTGGATCTGATGGAAGCCCGTTTGAAAATAATCCTGGATTTTCCTTTGATACGTACCCCTCGCCTTAAAGAAAGAAATACATCAATGCATTATGGTCTTTATGTACAGGAATCTTGGTACTAGAGTAGATACGACTATATACACAATTCTATAAAATACATATATATGAAGAACAAGCTAATTCAGAGAAATTGTGTCCCCCGCTTAGGGAAAAAAAGAAGCGCATGCGCATTTCGGGGTGGGGAGGGGGGGTCGGACCCCCCCCCCCCCCGGATTTGTTGAATTATTAAATGTATACATGTATATTGAAACAAATAAAAAATGCCAATATCGATATAAAGATTTGATTGCTTATTCTTTAATATGTGTATAGAAGATTCTTTTTATATAGAATATTTATCACACTGTAATACATGTAATGATTTTATGAGTTTGTACAAGCCAGACGTCATAACTTTTTCATTTCAAATGCTGAATACTATCATTTAGTAAATCAAAAAAAAAAAAATTAAAAAAAAAAAGAAAAAAAAAGAGGATCGTTCGGGATTCGAACCCGTTACCTCTCACATGCTAAGGGAGAGTCATACCCCTAGACCACGGACGCATGTAATTGAACAGCAAATTAAATGCAAACATTAGGTCACATACAAGCTAAATCAGAGAATTTGTGTCCCCCGCTTAGGGGGACACAAATTCGGCTCCCCCCCCCCTCCTCGGATTTCTAGAATTATTAAATGAATACATATATATTGAAGCAAATAAAAAAATGACAATATGGATATAAAGATTTGATTGCTTATTCTTTAATATGTGTATAGAAGATTCTTTTTATATAGAATATTTATCAAACTGTAATAATGATTTTATGAGTTTGTACAAGCCAGACGTCATAACTTTTTCATTTCACATGCTGAATACTATCATTTAGTAAATCCAAAAAAAAAAAAAAAAATCAAAAAAAATAAAGAAAAAAGATCGTCCAGGACTTGAACTTGGCACCTCTTACATGCGAATCGAGAGTCATACCACTAGACCACGGTGGAACTTCACTATATAGCAAATTAAATGCAAACATTAGGTCACATATAATGTTTATATTCACGTTCGAAATTGTCAAAATTTTACCCAATACATGGTGTCTAATTTAGCCCATTTACTAAACAGTTCTAAAAGATGTAATAAGAATATAAAGTCCGCCGACAACCTGTATTATATGTAATAACTCTCCACATGCCCCTCTGCTAAAAATAGTGCCAAGCGACTTTTTAAGCAATAAATAATAATTAGAAAACGGGGCGGGACACTTTGAAAGGGGCGAGAGAGGCCCTAGGGAGTTATGGTATAAAATTTCATTGCAAAAACTCAAAACTTCTTGAGATATCGCCCGGAAACGAAAGAGTTACACACAGACGGAATGTATGAATTAACGACCTTGAACTTTGACCTTTTGACCTCAAAATCAATAGGGGTCTTCCTTAGGCCACAGGGAGTTGTTATGTAAAATTTCATCGCAAAAGCTCAAAGGATTCTCGAGATATCGCGCGGAAACGAAAGTGTTAAAACAGACAGAATTTATGAATTTATGACCTTGTCCTTTGACCTTTTGACCTCAGGGTTATCAATAGGGTCCTTCTTTAGGTCATAGGGAGTTACTATGCAAAATTTCATTGCGAAAGCTCAAAGGGTTCTCGAGATATCACGCGGAAACGAAAGTGTTACAGACAGAAATACAGACGGACGGACGTCTGTCCGTCCGTCCATCCGTCTGTATTTCTGTCTGTCTGTTTAAAAAAGATTTTCACATGTAGATCAATTTTGATATGCAACCGCAATGTCTCGGATCATCCATTAAAAAGAATTAAGTTGTCATGTTAGAAGAACTGCAAAATATGCATCTCACGAAAAATTGCAAATAGTTCACGACCATACTCTATATTTAAGTATGGCCACATGATTATTCAAGGATTCGACATTCTCAGATTGATATGAGCTTAATGCATCCATCATAAGGAAGTGTGGATTCAAGTTTTCTTCGTGTTATTATCCTCGGGGACACAAAACCAACATCTGGTCACAAGTTACATGCGAATTAATAAAGAAGTTTTTTTTGAATAAATCTTCTAATAAAGAAATTCAAATATTCTCAAGTTAAGAACAATTCAGTATAATTACTACGAGGATAATGGATTCGGCCGACTGAATATAGTTAAAAAAATATTATGTATTTCAAAATATAATTTATAAAATATAAGAGGTTTAACTTTCTGGATCTTTATAGCCATGACAATGTTCTTTATCAGTTCAATTGAACTGATATCTGTATACGTCCTTCTTTTCAGGTGACCTACATTATGGCATTTCATGCAAACCAAACAATCATCCACATGATAAGACGATTTAGGTACTAAACCACCACAGAAAAATGCTTAGTCGCATTTTACAATTTTGTCTTCTCCCATTTCTGATTTGTTTGGGATCCAAATTAAATCAGAGAGACCCTAATATTTTTCAAGAAGATCCAGTCCTTGATGTTTTGAATCCAACGGAAATTCCAGACGGACAAACAATTACAACGCAACAGCTAAGAACTATTCTTACGGCTTTTCAAAAGGACAATGTGGCACGAATTACAAAGCTTCAGAATGATTTTAAAGTCACAGTGAAATATCAAGAGAATCGCATTAATAGCCTGGAGAAGAAAATAGCAGAGCAAGAAAGAATTATTTCCATTTTGCAACATGATTTTCCCGCAGTTCGTTCCAATGAAGAACCGTTAAATAGTAATGCGCTTGAAAAAGAAGAAAGCTGGAATGGCAGTGATGAATCAACCGGAAAAACCATCGTGACTGATGTATCCTCCATAGATGATAAACTTAGCCATACGGAAAATAAAAATTTGCGAAGTCTCACATCCAAACGACATAACAAAGTTGGAAGAAAAGGTATTCGCTAAAAACACATTTGTTCATTTAAGGCAAAATGAGCTGCAAATTTGATGTCGGGAATTTTTGTCGCAATATTGTAATTAACTATTTCATTGACAGAAAAAAAGAATGTTTATAAACTTCTGTTGTTCATAATTGCGATGGAAGAACTACTTATAAGCTTTGATTAAAGCAAAATTACATTATTGTCATACTGTACAATATTGATTTCTTATACAATACTATGCATTCCATTGTACAGGGATCTTTCTTTTGAAAAAACATTAATACTTTATTTTAGTATATTTGATCATTAATGTTTTAATTACATACAGATTTATCATAACAGCACAATTTAACAACAAAATAAAATGCTCAAAAATGCAGCTCATATTGCTTTAAAATTTATTTCTAAAATGAAAAAAAAAATTAAAAAAAATTGCAAAGTCTCAAATCAAAACGACATAATTTGGAAGAAAAGGTATTCGCTAAAATCACATTTTTTCAGTTAAAATCTATTGTATATATACGGTAGCTATGTTGAAAATGTAACATTCTTAATCTTCTAACTAGTTTTCAGGACTTAATAATGTAGGATGGTTCCTGGATTATTAAATGTATCCAATTTTGTTGTAATGAACGTTGCATAATTGTAATTATCTTTCGCAGAAAGATTGTTAATCCCAGAAGTGCCTGGTGAAGTGGTTGCCTTCTACGCGTACATGTCTGCTAACCTTCCAAGTAATGTAGCAACTCCCCATCATGTGCTTATTTTTGACAACGTTAAAACCAATATTGGTAACGGGTACCATCCTTCTACAGGGGTGTTTATAGCTCCAGAGACGGGGGTGTACGTATTCATATGGAGCTTTAGAAATGGTGAAAATGGAATTCACTCTACACAGCTCATGATAAATTCAGAGGAGTGGGGAATAATACACAGTCACACTGCTTCAAACAGTTACCCCCAGTCCACGGGTTGTGTGGTGGTCCATGTAAATAAAGGAGATGATATTTTTGTGAAAACGTCAGATTCTAGCTCGGGATATATCTATAGTGATAGTTTTGGTAAAAGCTCATTTTCCGGATGGAAAATTGATTAAAGCGGAACTAGAATTTTGGGGGGTGCGAGAGGTGGTACGACATTTGCTGAGAAAGATCCATATCTGGTGTTGATTCTTGATCCTGATTTTGTGACATTTAAGATCGAATAATGCATGTCAAAAATATTTCATGAAAAAGGATTCAGTCCTTTCTGACATATGTGTACAATCAACTTATCAATGTAATATCTTGATTATGAATATTTCAGTTCTCAAATACATAAATAATTAACCTGTTATCTTAAAAAGATAAGGCTCTTTTTCATTTGTTTGATTTTTTAGGGTATTGGAGGTCATTTTAAGGCTGCTTTGTCGTATCAATTTTGTAATTCTGAAAATGCATCAATTTGTTTAATAAATTATTTAATGAAAATATTTTTCGGTTTTTTGTGAGTGTATAACAGCAAAGTACTAAATGTGTACTCATTCATATGCATTACTATATTTCAGCTATTCACCTTGTTTGTGAGAAAACGATAGTACTATTGTGCTATATATCAGACTTCCTGTATAAGAAAAGATTTTGAATAAAAAATCATTCTTTCCTCAAGAATAAAAAAAAAGGATTTGATATTGTTGATAGAAATTTATAATTGAAAAGTTACTTTATTGTGAATTTTTAATTATCTATACAAGTATAGGTTACTTACATCATATACTGATGTCGAGTGGCATTGAACATACACTTTCATGGGGGTGGAAATTTCCACGTCAAATGAAACTGTATATCCAATATAATACGAGACTTCTATGATATAAGCAACTTGTCATATAATTAATGAAACGTGTGTCATCAGTTAAAAATCTAGTCATTTTAGAAGCTTTGAGTGAATAATTTACAGTTGCACCCCCCCCCCCCCGATTCTTAGAATTTAGTGGTTCTGGGGCTCGTTTTACAAAAGAACTTACGACTAAGACCAAAATTTAATTCTGCATGTAACTTTCTAATTAACATTATATTGACAATGGTTTTCATCTTTTTGAAAGGAATGTAGTAAGATGTGTTTACGATAGCAATTTTAAACAGAATAATTAATTCTGCAAATTTTTATAATCACCTTAAGTTTTTGGTCTTAGTCGTAAGTTCTTTTGTGAAACGGCCCGTGGATAATCCATGAGATAAAAGGAGAGATATGTGTAGATTGTATATTTATGTGTAGGTTGTATATTTATTAGGGATAAGAATCAGTTATTTGAAAAATTATTTAGACTAAGTATCGTAATCAAGAAAATTCTAAAGGATAATACAAAGGCATATATAAACCCTGTATAAGACTTGACCTACACAGTAATTAACGATATTAATCAAACGCTCTGCAAAATTATGCTTTTTGTTATAAATACATGGATTATGTATTATCATGTTTTGTAAACATAAATCTGTTCTGGGCTATTCAAAATCTTTCACGGCAAGACACGGTTTTTTTTCCGGATTTGTCATGAATTTTGGAAATGTTTAAATTTTTGCAAGAAATCGATGTGATCATGATATCATGATTTAACAATATCATGAATTGAAGATGAAAAGTAAGCTTTATATTTTTTTCCCCAAATTATTGGAAAGTGTGTATAACTTTTTATACGCTGGACAGTTATTTTCATAAAACTTCGAACCCAAATTTTGTATACACTATAAGTAGGCACTTATAGATTAGCAAACACTTGTAGATTAGTCAATCAATATGAGATTTCCTATCATTATTAATTGGAGAAATGTTTCAATTTCCTTACAATCTTTCAACAATAATTTCAATCGCCATACTACTTTACTGGATCATTTATTTGAATGTAGTAAAACTATACCACTTGAAGATGCTTGGATATCTTTACGAATCTGTAGGATATATTTTTGGGGGAAACATGGCCAATTATTAGATGAGCTTGAACATGACATTTGTCGGAAAGCCTTTACTTCAGTTGGAAGTCCCATAACTTTGTTTATGTCAAAGTTGAATGGCAACATATATAAGACCTCATCCAAAATATTGATCAGTTCATGCAAATAAGATAATATTAGAAATGATGTTATTTAGATTCATTTAAAGACGTTACAGTTTAAGACTTATATGTCAAAAAATTGCTGTGTTGTCGTTGTTTACATGAATCTATAGCTAAAGAAGCTAAAGACCAGATCAAATCGTTCTTTTGTGAATATCAATTATTAATTTTTGATGTTTACACTTCGATTAACATTTCTGTGCACTTCTTGAAATTTTAATTTTACGTAAACCTTGATTCCCTATACCTGTTCATATTTCTATAATGAGTGATTATTCCTAATTTATAACCTATCAGAAAGTAAATTTTTTGTATTTTTAGTATTTTTTTTTCAAAGTTGAAACTAAAAAAATTGAGAGAAGGCACTTTAAATCTTTAAAATTTGAAATTTTACATTTAAATAACAATTTATCGTTGGATAATACTAAGCACCGCATCCCGAGAACAATTTACTAAATTAAAGATGACATATATAAATTGGTCCTATTCAGAAGCGGGTTGACAAAAAATATTCTTAAAAAAGAAAGGTGATGTAACTGAAAGGGTATACAAGATATTGACGTAAGTATCTTCTGCAAGTGAAGAATGAGGGGCTCTGGGCTCAAAGATGTAAATTGATGTAAAGTCAGAAGGAAAAGGTATATATGACATGCCTTTACTCATTTAATATTGACTTAAAAGTAAATATAAAAGATTGTAAAATATATTACACTTTCCAATGCTCTGTGGATGAACATTTTTTAGACGGCACATTTCTTAATTACTAATGTATTCCAAGATGTCATAATAAAATCTTAATTGTGTTGTAATTATCTGTTTAAAAAAACAGGTTGGGTATTCAAGAGATACTGGGGTCTTCATCAGCGATTATTTTGTAGTAAACAATAATGATTTTAAAAACCATGTATCATATAAGTTCGACTGTGCACCCATAAAAGATTACATATTCCTTTCATATCTAAAGGTTAAAATTGTATTTAGTGGATGACTTCGCTGTCATAATTATCATACTTTTAGTCTTTTATGGATATCTTATCATGTGAGTAACAGGTTCTTGATTAATTAATGTAATAATTATATCATTAATGCATATTTTAAAATGCATAATATGCAATGGGTAAATGTTAGTTCATTAAAAAGTACATAAATTAGCGCATTTAAAATTGAGCGCAACCATCCTCTTTGACTGCTTAGTCCAATCTTGAATAAGCGCACTAGAGTTATAAGAACGACATGTTTGCTTTAATCATATACTAGTATTAGCGTGTACATAAAATAGCGGACAAGAAGCAGTGCGTATAAGGCGATAAAATATGATTACGGCAAGAATAAGAAAGTTTATAGTATATTGCACAAAAATTTCTACAAACCGTCCTGCCATAGTACCGACTTTTAATGTGCTAGCGTTCATCTTTGACAAAATCAAGAAAAGCAAATCAGAATCCATTAATTTCGTTAAACGGTATTATCCTTCCACATTGAAAATTATAGTTTCAGAGACAGGGCTGTATATATTAACACTGAAATTAAGAATTGGCGAAAATGGAACTTATATGCTTCTGAGCTTTGTATAAATTAAGAGGAATGAAATATAATATGCTCTTACGCCGCTTCAAACAATAAGGCCCACTATATTGGTTTGGCGGTAACTTATGAAAATAAAGAGGGAATTGTTTCTGAGCTTGTGATAGACAGCAGTTCCAGTTCCATTAACTACCATACCTGCATGGATGGGGCAAAGGGATGCTCAGTGTCAGACTTCTTATGAATGTTTTATCTGGCCTCTATTTTCAGTGTCCAGGAGCTGATCTGTTCCAAAGAACTGCAAGGATTACATATACCGGATCTAATCCTGCAGTATTATCTAGAAGTATCCTCTATAATATTTGCTTCAGATTCTACATATGATCTAATTTGACTAAATTTGACTACGGATTACTCCATCTACCTGATCAATACATAGGACTCACAGTGGGTGTGACCGTTCGAATGGGGATGCTTACTCCTCCTAGGCACCTGATCCCACCTCTAGTATTTCCAAGGGTCCGTGTTTTTGCCCTGTTCACAATTTGTATTAATCCTTCACTGGATTTATGAGATTGATTACTGTTCATTGTCTTCACCTTTTATATGGGTGAACCGACAGATTAATGTTTTTAAAAAGAAAATTTACCATGAACGATAGATTTATCTTGGGTTCCCTAGCTTTAGCTTGATGCATATTTTATTTATTTCGCTACAGTGCACGGTCTATTGTAATAATATATATATTTTTATTTCTAATTTGGTATATCCTGTAGACACTATTCGCTTGATGCCTATAGTATGGTAATTAGTCATAAATAATAGTGATATTTGGCTAGTTTGTGTCTTTCGTCGTCAATATTTTTAAAAATATCTGTTACATATTTAATTGTGTTTTGTTCAGAACAAGGGGGTCAATAAAAAAAAAGAAAACCTGACACTACTTATTCATTGATGAAAATAGCTTTTGTGAGCTAAAAATAAAGCATTAATCGTCGGTTTCAGTCTTCATTCCTATTCTTTTTCATCACTAGAATCAAATATATTTCTTTTTTTTTAATAGTTTGCTCTTTTTATTTTGAGTGTACGTACATGTAGTAATCTCTCTCTCTCTCTCTCTCTCTCTCTCTCTCTCTCTCTCTCTTGACATATAATTACTTTATATTTATCATT